AAAACAGGTGTTTCTGTTTAATGCAGGTTATTTTAAATTAAAAAGAAAGAACTGCGTTAAATACATAATTTATTTGAGAAATTCTAATTAATAAAAATATCAAATGAATAGCATAAAATTTTACCGTTCTATACCTTTATACAACGTGGATAACCCGTAAGCTGTACCTACTGCTTGTTAAGCATCAATTAATTATTTGCTACTTTTTTTTATCCCCTTTGCCTATATTTAGCCGAAACAATAGATTACAAATCAACCATAAATGGAGAAGGGTGAAAGTGGAGGGTGAAGAGGATGAGGAGCAAAATGGAAAACGGGAGCAAAAAAAAACAGTTTTGGACAACCGAAATCTGCAACTGAGCAGATGTTGGCTAAATATCCGGCAACAGTACGCGCATCTTCGTCATCATAGCTAAAAACGGAATCAAATTGCACAGCAACAAAAAAAATATGACCATTTTTGGAAAAATAGCAAGCAGCTTTGACACTCAATGGTTTTCAAAACAAACAAATACATAAATGTATATTGAACTGCTTCGAAGGAAGAGGTTGAAAAAAAAGAAAGACGCAACCCAGTCACATTTAATTCGCTTTCCAAATACCCTTTCTCCTATTTAGCAATCACCCATCCCATTTCCCAGAGCCACCCTTTTTTTCCGTCCCTATAATTTTTGTTGCTCATTGAAAAAAAAAAAAACTTTTTAAAGCCGCTAAAGACATAAAGAAAAAAAAAAGAGGCAAGAAAAAAGTGAACATTGATAATCTAAATCGAAAATCAGCGTATCTGCAAACAATAAACAATTACCAAAAAGTCTATTAGCTGAAAAGCTTTGTCAGTAATAACACAAGCCCTTAAATGTCGCCAAATAAGCGCCATCAGAGGAATAAAGAAAAAAAATTTTTTTTTTTTTGGAAGTACTAATTTAAAAAAAAAAAAAGAAGGATATTATCATTTACTTTTATTTTTTTTTTATTTCTTTTTGTTATATAAAACTGAACAGAAATACTGCTGTTACTGTTGCTAATGCCGCTGCCGCTGCTCCCTTTTTTTTTTCTTCTTCTTTTTTAAATGTTCTGAAAATGAATAGGCTAATAGCAACACAAAAAAGAACCCCAAGAAACGATGACTAAGCTAAAAAGCCTATATTTAGTTTTTAGCTTTCAACATAGTAAAAAAAAAAAATAATGGTTTGGTTTGTTGTTATTGCTTCTTCGTTCTCTCCCTTCTTTTCAACAGCAATAACAAAAACAGTTTTTTTTTTTTTCAGTCTCCAGTTTCAATTTCATTACGAGACTGCCTTCAAAGAAAAAAAAAAGAAGTATTTAATTAAGAAGAAAATAAATTTTTAAACATAACTTCTATATATCTTGCCATTTTTTTGTAAACTAAGCATCATTACCGTTATAATTTTTTGTAGTTAATGTTAATCAAATAAAACTAAACAAGTATTATTGAACAGAAATGGAACGCTTATCATCATCTTCACTGCCTTCGTCATCATCATTTTTATCATTTGTCGTAGATACAGCAATAATGCTAACATTAAAAACAGCAGTGGTAAAAACAACAAAAGCAACAATGACGGAATAATCACCCGAGCATCATCATAATTATTATCACTATTAATAATATTAAAATATTCATAGAATTAAATAGATATAAAATTAATCAATTTATAGAATAACTTCTGATAGCCACCAATCTTATACCACCAATTAGAACAGTGGTGAATTGGTGAACAAATGGAATGTGTAGAGAAGGGATTGCTGTTGTTGCAGCAATGTCGACATTGATGGCCACTGATACAGTGTACACGATACTGAGTTTTTTTTTTTTCTTCCAATGATTCAGGTTCAAATTATGATATATTTCATCGAGTATTCAGAGGCATTTTTTGAGTGCTATAAAAAGCTCTCTACAAAATGTCAGTGTTATGTGGAATAAATACAAAAAAAAGTTTCTTTTTTTTCTCATTCTTCTGTTGTCTGTTACAACAATGCATAAGGTCTAATTGAAAATTATTTTAATCTGCAGCTAAAGTGTAGTAGGGAAGAAACAACAACAACAAAAAAAAAAAAA